ATACATGGGTTGCCTTGAAAACAAATTGAGTGAATGAAGGATGTTAAGCATTTAATATCCGTTCAGTAAATACTGAAACAATCCTTCTTTGTATTGGCCATAACTCGCGTTTCTTCCTCTTGGTCCATAAAAATTGGCCACTGTGAAAAACCACCGTAGGGCTTGGGAAGGAAAGAAAAGCGGTGATGCTGGAGTTAATGCCATTCGTAGATCAGACACACCAACAGACACTGCAGATCAGATAGGTGAGTTGGATGATGTAAGCTCAGGGATTTCCCGCCAATGAGAAATCTTGAGAGAAGAGATCCCGGAGTTTCAGCATCTGTTTACAGAGGTTCCAGACAGAAGGTCCAGGAAAATGAAGAGAAAATAAAAACATCCTAAAGGATGGGATGGCTATTCCCAGTGTTGAAGACAGACTCCTACCCAAAGAGTGTACTGACTGCTGAACAGAATTGATGAAGAAACACCAAACCTAAATTCCTATTGGTAGAAACTTGAAAAAAGAGAGGAATTATTTAAAGACTTCCCAAAACATGCACGCTTAAACTATCTGCACAAAACAGACTGCTGTCAGACTTATTAGTCATGTTAGCTGCAACTGAGAGACGAGTAGGAAAATAGCCATTTTGAGGGCGAAAAGAGTTTGGAAACTTGAGTTCTGTTCTCAGCCAGACTGGCCCCCACATTGAGAACAAATGAGTGTGTATCAAGGATGCCAAGCCATATTTTTGGAATGTTAGTCCTTAAGGAGGACAAACAGACATAGGAGATGAGAAACAGTCATAAGCAAAGAAGAAATAGAGTCTACAGAATTAGAAATGGTTCTGTGAAGTATAGGGAGTGTCTTATTAATCACAGTAGTGGCATTTCCAGGGTATATTTGGGTAATGGTTCCAAACTCCTTCTACTTGCAGTCATGAATAGAACATGTCTAAGATATAAGCCCTGTAGTGTGATTTCATATGATTTATGGTGAGAGAGATCAGTGCTGCTGTGTGTGTGTGTGTGTGTGTGTGTGTGTGTGTGTGTGTGTGTGTATGTGGTGATTGTTCACTGATACAGGTGCACAAGGGAGTGTTTTGTTTTGGGATGTTGGAAATGGTGTCTTATCCTGGGTGGTGTCAATGTCTGGCTGGTGTAATCTGGGTCTGAACATTAAGGTCTCCGCCTGATACTGCATATTGTAAGTAAGATCTGAGTAACAGTATGTGAAGGCCCACACCCTGTCCGTACCTCTAATTTCAATTTCTGTCCTCTTCACTTACCAATACCCAACGAGAGGGCCCTGTCCTTACACTGGCGCTTTGTGTTCTCTGTATCTGTCTGCTTTTGCAGTGTAGGGACAACATTTGGATTTAACCACTGCTGCCCCAGAAAACATTTCCTATTGAGTGGTGTGTTCATCCATTTAACAATCCTCATGTGTTCTTGTCACTGCTATAGATAATCTTCAGACTCAAGGAGCCAACCCCACAGACCCTCACTCTATTGGAGTTTGGGTTCAATCATACAGGACTGGGCTGGAGCGATAGCATAGCGGGTGGGGCGTTTGCCTTGTACGCAGCCAACATGGCCGACCCAAATTCGATTCCTCTGCCCCTCTCGGAGAGCCCGGCAAGCTACCGACAGAGTATCTCGCCCGCACGGTAGAGCCTGGCAAGCTACCCGTGATGTATTCGATATGCCAAACACAGTAACAACAAAGTCTCCAATGGAGATGTTACTGGGCCCGCTCGAGCAAATCGATGAACAACAGGAGGACAGTGACAGTTTATTTATTTATTTATTTATTTTGAATACCAATCCCTCCACCAGTGCCCATTTCCCACCACCATGAATCCCAGTGTCCCTCCCATCCCCCATTCCCCCTCTGTGGCAGGGCATTCCCTTTTGTTCTCTCTCTCCTACTGGGTGTTGTGGTTTGTAAAAGAGTTAAGCCTGATTTTCAGGGAGAAACGTTGAATGATTTACTTTCCATTGATCACTTTGTATATAAGGAGATGTCGTGTGGCCGCATAAGCAGCCGCGTGGTTTGGAATAATTGTCCTGGTTCCCGCATGCCCGAGCTATGCTTGTAGAGGCTCATGGTCACCGGGGTTCCATCTGGAGAAAGCGGGATGTGGCACCTACCCCATCTGGGACTTCCCAGTGATCTCAGCTCTGTTTGGGACCTGGAGCATTCTCCGGGAGCTGTGGAGCCTCCCAGCGGCCTTTCTTCTCTGTGGCTGTGTGCTGTAAAGATGGCGTTGGGGAGCGGATTGTGGGTGTGACTTCTGGAATCAGAGGTTACCTGGTTGCCGGGGCAGTCCCAGCAGTTTGGAGTCAACGTCCTGGTTTCCGCATGCCTGCATCGGGTATTCTAACCCGGTCCCACCATCACTGTGACCCTCCCCTCACCATCATCTCTCGTTTCCCACCCAGCCCTGCCCCCCACACCTTGGCGGGCGCAGAATAATTTGCTTCATATTGCTGATGACAACGAAATGACTAATGGAGTTACCAAGAAAGACTCCAGTAAAAGAAAATGTGTGGAAAGTGTTGTATCTCGGCGCAGGGTCCTTCAAGACCTCGTCTGCGGGTTTACCAAGGTGGTTGTTGCTAGTTGAGCCTTCTGTGTCAACTGTTTTTATTTACTGGGCTTCGTTGGCTCCTACGCTGTCTCCCCCTCAGATTTGGAGCGCTCCTCCGGGGCCCTCAGTGTCGTGGCCTTCGGAGGTCTGTGGCCCCACCGAAAATGCAGGATCTGTTGAACGGGCCAACGAGTCCCAGCAGCTTGGGTTGGCTCGCGTCTCTTCCCAGATGGGTGGTGAAGCCGTGGAACTGGGCCACTGCTGTTGGGAGTGGGTACAGCTGGGCGGAAACCCCCAGAGTTTCCGCTCGAAGACTGGCGTCCCTGTGAGTTTCAGCGGCTTGGCTTGCGTCTCTTCCCAGACGAGCTGGGCCGCAGCTTATGTGGTGGCTGCAGGGGGATGTGGGTGTGGCTGCTGGGCATCTGGAAGTACTGGAGGTTGGGGGAAGGCAGCCCACCCCCCACTCAAGAAAGACCCCAGAGGATTCAGCCCCAAACCCCGTGTACCTGGAAGCTTTCTTCCGTTTCGTGGAAATGAGTTGTGAGCCAGTGAAGTGGGGCCATTTGCATGGTTAGCGTGGCAGCAGGGGAATCGGCCCGCCACACCCCCGAGGGCACCCCGAGACCTGCGTGCCCGTGGGACTTGGTGTGCATCATCTCGAGACGGATGGCGCTGCCGTGGAATGCTTGGTTTACCAAGTGCCTGGAGCTCTCGTTTGCGAGGAACACTCGCACTCGTGCCCTCCAGGTGGAACAGTGAGAGTCTGTGGTGGGGACAGTAACGAGGGAGGAGGCTCTTGGGGGTGGACAGGCGAGAGGTGGATCCCTGGACCGACCCGACACCGCAGCGTCTGTGGCTTTAGGCTTCAGCTGTGGGCACCGGCAGCCGTAGCTTCTCCATCTCTGCTGAAGGAGTTTCTCCACTTCTCTCCCGCTGCTGCTGACAGTCTCTGGCGTTGCTGCTGGTGGGCTTTTCAGCGTCTGCCTGCTCCCCTGTACAGGCCCGCTTGTTTTCACCATGGTGCCAAGAGCAAGTTTACCAGCGGGAGCTTCTGGTTGGCAGAGGTAGTGACCGTGTTTCCAAGTTTCAAGGACCGCAGGACAGAACACGCGTTGGCGGCCTTGGGAGCCTCAACTGCCTTTTCTGCAGCAGGAGCTGGGGGTCCGGCCAGTGAGGTGTGGTCATGGCCCACCGGCCATCCTCTTCTGAGGGGACACGCTTGCTCTAGCCTTTTTGATGGCCATCCAAGCCTCCGGGCTGTCGGGCGTCTGCAGCCTGTAGGGGGCCAGACGCCAGAGGCATTTCTTCCTCTGGCTGGGTGCCAGCGAGTTGCAGGTCCACTGGGTGTCTCTGGCGTGCGGTTTGTCCTCCCACCACTCGGGGCCGAGGCCCAGGCCTCCAGTAGCCATGTCCAGCTCCCCGAGACGCCCCCTTGCCCGCGGCAGCTCACACTCAGTCTTGTCTCTGCCATCTGACTGCAAAGCTTGAGGCTCCGCGGCCTCTGTCCCCCAAGGGCTCTCTCACGCCCCCAGACTCCCCTTCCTCCAGCCAAATCTGCCCGGCCTCTTCAGCTCTGGGAACTGCTTCTCCAGGGGGAGCATCTCGTGCTGGTGCCGCCCATGGTCCAGTCCTCGCCATCCCTCTCTGAGCTCTTCTCCTTCACCCCGCCTGCCTTCCTTCCTCCTCCCCGTTCACGTTCATCTCTGGGGCTGAATCACCCTCTGCCTCCATCTCCGCCGTATCTTTGCTGGGCGGCCGGGTGGGTAGCCACTGAACTGCCGGGAGGATTTTTGGGGTTTTTTTTTGGATCAGATGTTCTGATCACATCTGGCCTGGGACGGGCGACTTCTCAGGCTCCCTCCGCGGCAGCCCTGCTTGTTGGCCCTGGAAAAGGGAAATGATCTTGGCGGACAGCGGGGACCACACACAGCACCCCCTCTGGGTACTGTCTCAGGTAGCGAGCCTGGCGGCCGTGGGGGTTGGGTCTGAGTAGGACAGATGGAGGTATCGAGAACGGCCCATCCATGACTAGAGTATGGTCCTCGGCTCCCATAGCCTCTCCCTACAGCCATGCGTCTCGTAGGACCTTGACTAAAGTGTCTCCATGAGGGTTGATAAAATCCTGGATGAGTTTCCCATAAATGCTAGGGAAATTTCCCCCGCCCCTTGATACTTAAATAATTTGGTGTGGATGGAACTGTTTTTGAGAAGCTTGCAAGCTCCCACATTGTCTCCAGATCGCTTAAAAATATTCCCTGCCGGGTGCATTCCTTAACCCGAGATCAGTGCTGAACTTGGATTCATCGTAAGGTACTCATCGCGATAGTTAAAAATGTGTAGTGAAGCCGAAAACTGAAATAATATATATAGTACCGTGTGAACGCAGGCCAAGGAATCATGTGTAAATGCTTGTGAAATTGATTTTAGGTTGGGCCATGCAGGCTGCTGCCTATATCTTCATTCACCGGAAGTGGAAGGATGACAAGAGCCACTTTGAGGATATGATCGACTATTTTTGTGATATCCACGAACCACTTCAACTCCTCCTGTTCCCAGAAGGGACCGATCTCACAGGTAAGGTGGCCTGGGTCGGGATGGTAGAAATTTCAAACGTGAAGGGCCATGAAAATGACCTAGTTGACACTTATTCCTAGATGAAGTAACTGCACCAAGATTCACGGGCCACCCCTAAGGTCATCGTCATCCAGCTCTGGCATGTCGGGACCCAGATCTAGTTTCCAGCGCATGAATTTGATGACAAGTCACCCTGACTGGTCATTATCATTCAACTTACCACCCTAAAGTGTCAGATTATGTCAGTATCTCTTTTAAATATCAGCTTTTTGCACTTACGTAAGCCTAGTTTTTTTTTTTTATTGTTTCCCTTCTCAAGTTTTATTGAGGCACCAGTTTCAGGCTGGCAGTACTCCAACTGCACACCCATCCCCAGTCTCAGAGTCTCTCCACCAGGGCCTTAGGGTTCCCTTCCACACCCCCTGTTGGCAAATTAACTTTTAAACAAATTGTTTAACGTGGTTTGGATCTTGTGTCTGTGACAGCGTCAATGAGTATGGCTTTGATAGGGAGTGAGTGATGTGCGTGTGTTTATGACATTTAACTTGTGATATGTTGAACGTCTGAATGATACCGTGTTTGTGATACTTGATACGTTCGTGACAGTATTAACGTGAATATGGCTTTGAGACGCAGTTGCCCCACCTCAGTTGCCAGAGTATCACAGACCCTCCACAGTGTCTTCAGCTCACCTCATGTTACCTCAGGTTCACCTCATGGCTCCCCACCCCACCTTGGTGTTCTCAGTTCTGTCACTCACGCTAAGGGTTTCCCACCATCCGGTACCTTCCATTCCCTGGTCCTGTTCCTCTGTATCCCATAGCTGAATGAGATCATTGGCACTTTCTTTCTCCTTTCTCTGACATGTAAGCCTTGTATTAAAATTCCCTGTGGGGGATTGTGGTCATACCTGGTGTCCTTAGGACTTACTTCTGACTCTGCTCAGGGATCTCTCTTGGTAGCGCACGAGGAATCGTATGTGGGCTAGGGAGCGAACTGGGGTCGGCTGTGTGCAAGGCAAGTACCTTAAGCCCTGAACTCTCTCTACAACCCCTCTCTATATTGTCTTTTTCCAAGATACTTATCCCATTGACACTTCTGTCTTACAAGAAAAGAAACTGAGAATGACTGACCTTATGCATCACTAAGTGCATGTGGAAGCCTTTCTCCTGGTACTCGGAGGCCTCCCCTCTTATATCACCAGGGAAGACTCTGGCTTTTCTTTTCTTTCTTTTCTTTTCTTTTTTTTTTTTTATGTAGGAGTACTGCTATTTATTCAGCCACTGATTAGCTGATTGATTTGGGCATGAACTCCACCTTACTTTATTTTTTTCATAGTTTTATTTATTTATTTTTCTTCTTATATTTATTTATTTAATCACTGTGGGAAAAGGTACTAAGCTTTCAGGTTTAAGTCTTGGTCATACCATGATCAAACACCTCTCCCTTCACCAGTACTCATTTTCCACCACCAAAAACCCCAATATACCCCCCTCCCATCCCTCCCAATGCCTGTGAGGCAGATGATTTCCACTTAACTCTTTTCTACATTGATTACTTCATTATTTCGACAACAGATGCACCATTATTGTTTAGAATTCCCCCCCCCCCGCCCCAACAATCAGAATTGCTGAAAAGGCATTGTGAAATACTTTGTTTTCTATAGCTGGTTATGAGAATCATATAATGATTTTGGATTTCTGCAAAGAGCCAGATAATTACAAGATTGGTTTCTGTGCGTCTAGTGTTAATGGCCATACCGGAGAGCCGCTTGTGGGGGAGCAGCTCGTGACCACAGTAGGGCGCGAAGGACAAGCCGTTACCTCCCCCCTTCCCCTGAGATTGCAGTTGCCCCATCACCACTGGCTCATACCTTGCTTTCCTATAAGCTCTGAGGCGGTGACCATCTTGCTGCTGGCGGGGGAAAAGGCGGAAGGGAGCAACACCCTTTCCCTCCCGGGAAGGCATGGTGCCAGAGTTTAAGGCATGGTTCATTCACTTTTCTGCCGCACGCTGCCGGGCTCTGGACTAAGTCCTTTTGCCTCTGGAGCCATGGCCATGCCAGAGAGCCGCTCGTGGGGGGCAACTTGTGACTGCGGTAGGGTGTGAAGGACGACCTGGTACCGTCCCCCTTCCCATGAGACTGCAGTTGCCCCATCACTGCTGGCTCATACCTGATTTTCCAATAAGCTCTGAGGCTGCGGCCACCTATGCAGTCCAGATGCATTTCTGCCAAACGCTGCTGGGTTTCGAGATTTGTTTCTGAGTCTCTGGGGTCATGGCCGTTAATTTGCTTGATCAGGAGCCAGAGAGGCCATTTGTAGGCAGCGATTCAGGGTCTTGCTGGGATGGCGAGGAAAGGGCCGGTTCCACCCCCATCTGGTGAGGCCCCGCGTGTCTCGTCACTGCAGGCCCAAACCGGACTGTCCAGTGGACTCTGGAGGATGGGGGTCACCGGGCCGCCAAGGGGAACAGGCCAAGGCACAAAACCTATTCCCACCTGGAGTGGCCCAGCCCCAGTAACCTACTGCAGGAACAGGATGCATTTCTGCCAAAAGCCTATGGGTCCCAAGACTCGTTTCTGAGTCTCTGGGATCATGGCTGTTAAGCAGTTCGATCAGGAACCAGAGAGGCCATGCTCCAATTATATAGCTGAGCCGGAGGTAGTTTGTGGGTGTGTCTCCCACATACCTAACTTTTGGCTGTTAACTTTCTTGGTAAACTTTGCCCCTAGTTTTTGGGGTCTGGCGAAAGGCACAGCAGCAATTTTGGGGTATCTGGAAGTCTGATGGTGCCATTAGGCTGCTGATGCACTAGCCTCACAGGTACAGATTGACCTGCTGGCGGCACCATACCTCTTCTGGCTTTTCTTAAGGACAGTTCGACTGTCATTGTCTGTAAGGGGACGTAGGAGGCTGTGCTGAGGCTTTTCTGCCTTCCCATATCAAGCTACATCAGCCCCCTAATGCAAGTGATGCCGGTGGGTTTCAAGAAATTCTTTACAGGGTTAGGGCTGGAGTGATAGCACAGCGGGGAGGGTGTTTGCCTTGCATGCGGCTGATCCGGGTTCGATTCCCAGCATCCCATCTGATTCCCCGAGCACCGCCAGGAGTAGTTCCTGAGTGCAGAGCCAGGAGTAACCCTGGTGCATCGCCGGGTGTGACCCCAAAAAATCAAACAAACAAACAAAAAAAGAAATTCTTTGCAGAGTTAAGAACAGGCTCGATTTTTTTATTCTTACTGAATAAATGACTTTCATATTTGATTTATTTGTATACGGGCCACACCTTGCAGTGTTTTGGCAGCTCAGGGCTCACTTCCTGTGATACTCAAACTGGCGTTGTTGCCGGCCTGACCCTTCAGAGTTGGACGTCCACTGGGGGTTGCATGGGTGGGGCTGGGGATGAACCAAGACCTCGAGGATGCCCGGCACATGCTCTGTCCCTTTGGGAGATATCACACAAGCTCCTACTTTCTTGTAAGCCACAAGTCATTTTCACCATCTAAAAGATTTCTGACCGGGGCTGGAGTGATAGTACGCAGGTAGGGTGTTTGCCTTTCACGCATCTGACCCAGGTTCGATTCCCAGCATCCCATATGGTCCCCTGAGCACCGCCAGGAGTAATTCCTGAGTGCAAAGCCGGGAGTAACCCTGAGCATTCCTTGGGTGTGACCCAGAAGGCATAAATAAATAAATAAATAAATAAATAAATAAATAAGATTTCTGACCAACAGAAGTGTTCTGGTTGAAAATGTGGACCTAGGTTGGGGTGGCGGGGGTGACTTCAAGTTAGACAGGAAGTGGTGCTGTCTGGGCCTTTGACATCAAGGAGCAGAACTGAAGCCCTTTCAATGCCCTGGTTGCTTTCAGAAAGATTCAGCCGACTTTGCGAAGGCTCTGGTGGGTGGAGGTCTGAGGTGCCAGGGAGGACGGGCTAGAGGATACGGGAGAGATGGGATCGAGAGCTCAGAATCACACACAGTGTGGAGAGCTGGGGCACAGCCGTGTCCTCCAGATCCTCCGGACGAGATAGAGGCCACTAAGCTGCTGAGGACCACCCTCAGAGCTGCCGAGAGGGGAACTTGAAATAACAGGGCACCTCACTCCGTGGAGATAGAGCTTTATGCGGCGCAGGACCCCCAGAGAGAATTCAAGATGAAAAGACAAATTATCCAACCATTGAAGTAAGTGAATAGGCAGCTAGTCCACGGTCCCTTCACAAGGGAAAATAAGTATTTGGGGGAACCTTGGCCATGCTCACCACAGCGGCAGTCTTGGACTCCTCTGTTATAGACGGACCCGAGCTAAATGAACCATAGCAAGTTTTATATCCTGCCATTGCATATCAGTACACGCTTGCTGCGTAGCACATGGAGGCTGTTTATAGTCTTGTGCTAGTAGGGATGAACCAAGACCTCGAGGGTGCCCGGCCGTGCTCTGCCCCTTTGAGAGATATTCCACACTCTCCTACTTACTTTATTTAGGGGCTGCATTACTGAGAATGCTGAAGATAGTATTGGCTGCATAGGGAGTTGGTATTATCAAGCAGCCCCATGGCTCTGTAAATTAGAGTTGGTTCCGTGAAGGGCATGGACCCAAGAATGGGGCACAGGAGAGGCAGAAGAGTAAGGTTAGGAATAGTCCTGGTGAGGGGGCCGCAGACAGGGTAGTGATCAAGGAATGTGGAAATATGCCAGGGTTGGCGATGGGGAGGGGAGGGTGAGGAGTCAGACACACCTTGCCTTCGCCAATGAGAATAGAGGTGAGGCCAGATAGATAAGCATAACAAGTAAAGCTCTTCCTGTGTATACAGGTGACCTGGGGTCAGTCCCTGGCACCCCATATGGTCTCCTGAGTCAGAAGTAAGCCCTGAGCACAGCTGAGTATGACCCAGGAACAAGCAGGAGGAGAAGGGGAGGGAGGAGGAAGAAGAGGAAGAGGAGCCAAAGGAAAGAACGATCACGACCATCCTGTTGTTCGTCGATTGCCTCGAGCAGGC